TCATAAAAATTATCAAGATCTGTAATTCCTTATCATAATACTTAAGTATTACAAAAGGAAAGAAACAAACAGAAGCCATGTTTAACATGACATTGTTTATGATACCACTTCTGATTTTGTATTTGATAATTATTATTTGGTATTTGTGCTGGTAACTTATTTCCATTTTTCTATCAATTTTTCCATCACTAAGATTTAACTAGCAGTGATTTCCCAGGCTTCCAATAATAATTTTATTTTCAAATTGCATCCTTTACTATACTAAGACAAGTAAACTGATACTGTCCTACAGTCTTCATTTGTCTTTTATTTATTCTGTGCAGCAACATAGCAAAATAGATATTTCTTATTTATAATTTCTATATTTTCTTGTTTCTTTTTTTTAGCAACTATAAAAATATAAACTTTGGCTTTCCTACTAAGAAACTGCCTCTATTTCAGAAACATCTTGCCTTTACATATTTTGTTTAGACCAGAATACGTATGCTATTATGTAAGTGAATGTTAAATTAGTCACTAAGTTAGACTGCTAATACAAGGTAGGTCAACATAAAAAGCATTTACGAGTGTTATAGTCACTGATATGAGTGTTATAGTCACTGATACTTAGCTACTCTGGTCATAATTATTTGTAAATCAAATGAACTTTTACAGATACTGTATAAACCCTTACTTAGATATTTTGACTATTTTCTGCATACGTTACATTAATACTGAAATAACAGTATTTTAAGAAATAGTTGAGTGGACATATCAAACAATAAATATACCTAACATTCCTATAAAAGTTCAGATGTAAGTAAATACTTCACCCCCATTTTTGTCTTGTTTGTCTCTGAAACAGAGTAAAAAAATTTCTTTTCTTGTCTAGCTCTTCAGTAGTATAATTCAGCAGTCCAAGGTTTGCACAAATTTTGCAAGCTGCTCCTCCTCCAAGATTTTTACCCAGAAGAAGCTGTAATTACATTACTAAAATAACTAGAAATATTAGTGCATGATAATCACAGATCTATATCCAATTTATTTATCTGAAAAGCTAGGAAACTTTGTTACATCAAAGGTTTCTGGAACATTAGGAAAACAATTCCCAAGCATATAAAGCTTTCTATGAGCATCAATGAAATCCTCATATGATGCACTGAAGCATTTCAAATATTTTTTTAAACCACTTTTTCACACAGCTCCAATTTTCAAATGTAACTATGACTTAAAGGTATAATGAGAACCAGTTCCATATCAACACCATGAGCACACGATCTAGTGTGTAGTCTATTGTAATTAAGACCAGTGATTCAATACCTATTGCTACTGGCCAGGTATCATAGCAACCTTGTGTCACTGACTACTGCTGTAAAACTGTTCAGCACCAGCAAGACTACGCTTCAGGAAAATCTACAATGGCACTACAGATAGTCAACATCTGTGGGGGCTGTTACAGGGAGAACAACAAAGAAATCTGCTTTAAAAAACCCTATGCTTTGAAAATTGACAGGGATACCACAGTAGCACTATGAAAAGGATAAAACAAAGAGGAAGGAAAGCTCATTTTTTGTCATTAGTTATATAACTTATGCACCCACATCTTAATATCCATCCATATAAGCCGAGAGTTAAAATAATGCTGCATTACCACATTGTTTGTGTATATCCACAAAACAGTCTTTTTCTTTTTTACTAAACACAAGCATCATTCATCACCAACATTAATCTGAAAATAAAACAGACCCACTTTTAAAATAATATTTAAACTTCCACAAATGAACTCTAGATAGTCTTGTATAAATCTGCAAAAAAAAGAAAAAACAGGTTACTATGAACAAGAACCCAATATTGATTTTTCTGCGGTGCAGTAAAGCATCTCCATTCTATTTGGCTGCTGTCAAAGCCACTCTTTAACAGCTGGAGTCAAATTGCACTATTTACAGCAAGAGCCCTTGTCAAGTGGACCATAAGTATTCTAACAATACGCTATTCAAATGGCACTTTGCCACACAAATTGCTGACTTGATGAATACCCTATGTCAATGGCTAAGGCCAATATAAAAGTTTCGTTTTTATGAGAGGTTTTACATTCACATATTAAGTAAAGCTTTCTTGAAAAACTATTAAGCTATATATTTTTGGTCTTTTGACATTGAAAATAATTAAAATCTGTTTAAATATATCAAGAGGATTTGACAACATTAATATGGATCTTGTGTTAACTGCATTTGTCACACTCATCTGTTATTGGTACTCCCACTGGCACGTGCAGTACAATAAAAGAATTAAAATGGTCAAAACACCATGAAATCAAAGCATTCGGCTTTTGTATCTGTGATTTACATGATGACAAATGTTTTGAAAGAAAGCCTTTGAAACTGCACTTCTATGTGAGGATATTTTTCTGCTTTCTTCTTAGGATGGAGGAAAGAGATGATTACTCTAAAAATGTTATTTTGTCTTAAATATAATATTAATGATAAAACCATGTAAAATTAAACATTAAGAAAAAATGCTGAATCTTACTTGCTATCTTTATGTGAATCTTCTCATTATGCAAAGTAAGGATCACCCAAAAACATAATACCAACAGGACAGAATAGCTACCCCTCAACTTTTTCTGTGACAAATCTTCTGAAATTGAATTCTTTAAGAGACAAAAACTGACAGCTTTAAAAAATAATTATTAACAATTTAGCATTAAGTTAAATTTCTAATACATAATTTGCCAAAGTAGCAAAATGATAATAAAATACTCATTGTATACATGCATACTAAAGCTTTTTGGCAACCTGAAAATTTTATGATAGTTTCACCTGTGCGGTCATTATATGCTTTTTAATGTATGTGGGATGTTGCACTCTGATATGCACAGAACTTTGACTAATTTCATGGGATCTGGATTTCAAGAGAGTATTTTAAGAGTTGGAAGAATCATTACAGCACTTTCTGAAAAAACTGTTTCCTGGATAGGAACTAAGAAAAACAGCAGAATTCATAACCAGGCTTCATTTCAGCAATAACAAAACAGTGTTAAAGGAAGTGTCAGAGCTACATACTCCTTTTGTGTAGCCTGCATTTGGGCTTCTGGAATAGCATTAAAGGGTCCTCCATTGTTATTGTCTTCTCAGGTCTAGCTACACCCTATATATTTAGCCTCCAGCATCTCCCACACTAATCTACGGAACCTGCTGTAATGGGGATAGGAAGAAAAGCTAGATGTAATGGATGACAGATTTTTGATGAATGCAAAGTGGTTTCTGAAGAATAGAACTTTGTCAGGAAATTAGACTAAAATAACAGGACTATAATGACAAAAAGATGAAATAAAAGATATTTTGACAGTCATAGGGAAGTCTAAGAGACATCAATAATACTCTCTCAATAAAAAGTTTTCATCTTGTCCCAAATCATGAAAAATGTTTAAAAAAGTAAATGGAACATTTTATTGAGAAATCAAATAAAATATTACTACAATTCCACTTTTGCCTATTGTGATATAAATCCCAAAGCATGTGAAACTCCACATTTTAAAATTTACCAAAAACTATTTTCCCATATGCCATGAGCAGCACATTTTCTTCCCAGCCACTTTGTAAAATCCAAGCAATTTTTAATTTAATAAGTATGACCAAAACTACATTCCAAATACAACTATAACTTTTTCCATTGTTCCTCTTTAAAAAGACAAGAAACTATTCTTTTTAATGAACAGTGAGATCAGATTCTGTGTCAATGGCCAACTAGTGCACCATCTGCCCCACAACATGCTCAGCAGGATTACGCTCTAATAAGACTTTTCAGTAAATGGGATCAAACAGAACTTTAGAAATCAGACTAAGGTTACTAAAAGGTCAAAGATAAATATTAAGAGTTAAACAATAATTATCATAAACTCAAAGTTATATGTAAATTTGTGGATAACAATAAAAAAAACACTAGAAAAGAAAATTCAAGAATGGGGACTTGGATTAAGCTACACTTTATCAGAGATAATTTTGGAATAGACAGTATTTAATTGACCATAATTAATAAAGCCAGAAAAAGGCTGAGACCATTCTGAAGGCTGTTTCCACATGCAAGCTAAGGGAAAGCATTTTTTTCATCTTTTTTTCATCTTTCAACTTATTTCCCAGACTTCGGTGACATTCCCATACTTGTGGGAAGATATTTTAATCTAAATTCAGTACTGAGGAATATCATACATAATTTTTTTTATTGCAGAGAATAGACTTCCCAAAACCCATTAATTAGTCACGAACACTAACAAACAAGACTGAGGCCCTATTCTTCAAGATACACTCGTATCAAGAGGTCACTGAATTATCCATTCCTGAGACACAAACATGGTTTTATAAAAAGTATGTACGATTATCTTCCAACCTGAATAAAGTAATTGAATTTAAGATTATATTATATTTGAGACAGTTTTAATAATTAGTTTTACATTTAGCAAATATGGGCTTTTTAAATACCTATGAATAACTAGAATATATAGATATATCTAGGCTACAAATAGAATTACTATTGCATTTTCAGCCTTCTCATAAGGTGCCTCTGTACTTGTTTTATCAGCTTTAACAGCACATTAACACTCGTTTCAGCATGGTATTTCCCTCTGTTCTTTCTCAAAGCAAAGAGAAAGAGCACAACTTCTCCATCACTCACATTTGGTTTAATGACTTGTATCAGGAGGTTCTGAGGTTACTGCTAATAGGTGCAGTCAAAAGCCAGAGGCGTAAGGAAATAAGGTCTAACTATGGGTGCAAAGTCTCTGAGAAAACAATTCTGAGACTACCTACTGGTGACCTTGCATAAGGTACTCCCCCAGTCTTGCCCATTTGTTCTATGAAATAGGATTGAAGATGTAAAACTGAGCCAGTCAGAACAAGCCTTTATAAACTTTAAAGCAAGCCTCATGCCACTTATACAGGGCTACACATCAGTGAAGGTGAAAGAGTAAAGAATTTGGATCACAACTCCTTGCTCTGGAGACATGCTTTACTTTTCGTTCTTACCTGATCTGACGTTTTTTCTGTGTGAGTGAAATCATAAGAGACCATGCCATGTTTATAGAAGCTAGAGTGTTTGTATCCAGCATTTTTATTTCTTTTTGACTCTTGAGATGCAGGAAGTAGAGAATCTGCCACCAGGTATTCTGAATCTTCAATGGCACTAAGAATTGCTTTTGCTGTTTCACCTGTCTCATGTCTTTCCAGTGTACCTAGAGAAAAACAAACAGAAAGTGTATTTTTTCAAGGAACTATACTATTTCATATTTCAGTGCAAGTATCATAGCATTAACTTAGTACATTTCATGTGAGCAGATAAATCATGAAGAACTTACAGATGAGCCAACTAATTCCACATTTTATGGACCTTAAAAATATAATTTTACATAAGGGTCTATTCTACAGCATTATTACATTAAAAAAATAAAGCCTAATTTCTAAAGAAATCACTACGGGAAATACCGTATTCAGACAACAAGAAACAAGGTATTGCATATAACGCATGAAGTCAGTTGCAATTTTCAAAGCAACAAAAGAAATTCAAGAATATCACTTGCCCTAACTCTGTTCAAGAGAGTAATTTGTTTTGTTTCCACAAAGCCCTCACAGAGCATCTATGTCATTAACAGTGTAAACAATAATACATTTATGTAATATCTTAGTGCTGTCCTCTAGTGTTCCGGATTACAAACAGCAAGGGAAAGATCAAATTTTTCCTTCCATTCTTAAAAAATATCTTTACCTCTCACACTTTTTAAACACCTGAATATAGTACATGTATCTTAGCAGTGTGACTCCTTTAACTCTAGGCAATCAGATTCTGTTAACTGTTATACAGTTATATTTTAGTAATATTTTTATTTAGTAATAATTCTAGTAACAGTACTTTATAACTGACATTAAAAATATCTAAACTGAGCTTAAATGTATTTGAAATGAGCTCCTATTATATAATACACATTTCCTATAGGAATTAACTCATAAGAAGTTGCTGAAATGGCATGTTTCCTATAAATACCAGAGATAAAAGACATGTGAAGGATTTTTAAAGTATTAAATATCTGCTGTAACGTGAAATGTTTTTTCCCTTAAGTTTGAATTCTTTGTAGCCTCAAGTAACATAACATGAATTTTCCCTTTCACTGCTACCAGAAAAAAATGTGTAACATTGAAGTTCTATCAGTAACACCTGCTAAAAATATTGGACTGGGATTGAGGGATCTCATACGATAAGTGTTTGTGTGTATATGTGTATAAAAACTCTTCATCTGAAATTATTTCTTTGAAACTCATCCATTTCTGTTCACTGCAGTATCACTCCTGTTACTTACAGGGCCAAGAGTCTTTGAATTCAAAGCAAAGTATTGCAACTGATTCTTTGTCCCCTACAAAATCAACTGAATACCGTAGATTACTATAATATTGCACTCAAAAAACAAGGATCGGTCCTAGTTGTATTTAATATGCAATTTTCTTCATCCCTCCCCAGGATTTGGAGCTAGTGTCATGGATCATTACAGAACTGAATATTTACTGGAAGGAGAGCGTTGACCAAAGATCTTTACAAGTTGGAATGTCTACAAATACTTCAAAACAAAACTGGCTACAATGCTCCCAACACTGCTACATCATTTCAGTATTTCTAACACAAAAAATATATTAATAGAAGCCTACAGGGCTAGATGTGAGCAAACACGCAACCTTAAAAGAATTAAAAGTGTTTGCAACATTAAGTTTGGAAATAATAGTCACAATAATAGTCACTCAGTTAACATAGTTTTCGCCTCTTTATATATGCAACGTAGTCTTTCAAGCTGTACATATACCCTGTTTCACCACAGAGCCCCCTCCATCATTCAGAGCAAAAGATGAAGAAAAATCACTAAGTAAGTAGTTGTTCTCCCTTATTGTTAAGTGGGAAGGACTGAGCGTTCCCTACTACCTTCTGCAGTAATTCCATTATGCAGGGAATATTTATACGTATATACATATTGATACATACCCATCCTTGTTTTCTGTATCACATGGTCTGTGTAATTCACTACCAAGAGTACTCAAGTGGTTCAGAAATACTATAATCATAATATCCTTGTGAAATTACTGGGTATCATATTTATGGACAAGTATCTAAGGCAAATATTACACTAAATTTTTAATCAATCCAGCAATTTTGAGGGCATGGTATTAAACTTCAAAGACCTGGTTATACATACTCTTTAGCACTAGACAGAGGTTCAAAACAGGTTTTGTTAGCTTTAGATGCATCTATATGTGCACACCACCAGTCATCCCTTAGAGCCAGACTGTTATGTGGAAGATTATGTGGAAGATTCATGTGGATATAGAATAGAATACAATCATTTAATTAACGCTATCATACTATAGTAGCAAAAGAGGATAAAATCATGTTTCCGTCACAAACCAAGACATGAGTGGCCTGACTTTTCATCCTCGTATATATGCATATACACTCAGGAGAAAATGTATATATTTAAGGTTTGCATTATTTTCTATATAACAGAGCTTATTCCCTGGAAACAGCTTCAGAGCCAAGTTTTCAACTTGTGGTTGAAGGAAAAACTTTTAGTTTAAAGGAAAAGAAACAGACCAGAAGAAGGGGTAAAAGTTACAGAAAAGGGGGAGAGAAGCATTTCACCTTTGAAGACCATGGCCTGAACAGAATAAACAGGTAGTCTTAATGTACGTGAAAGCAAACTGATATTTTGTACTTTACACATGCACACATATGTATCATTTTAAAATGCTGATAAATGTGCTTCTGCTTATTGTAGTCTTATAGATGCAAACAAACAACTGAACATGTGTTACTGAACACTTCTGCTACCTACTGAACTCTTTTCTAAGTGTCAGCACTGGGATCATACTGTAGCAAGTATAACATTTTCCATGTGTAGTTCAGAAAAGAGAAAATGAACTACTTCAGAAAAATCCCTTCTGCATTCACACTGGGCAAGAAATATGACTCAGCCTCTCACACAGAGTCACAATATTTATTATTTCTGGTTTTTTGTTTTTTTTAAAAACACATTTATAGGCAGAAAACAATTATAGGCTGGACAACCAGCTTAGTTTCTTAATAACAGAAAGCTCTGATATCCTAAAATCAATTTCACCTAAAATCATCATTATGAGTTCCATGTTTATATCATTAATATGCCATTCATAACAGCTATCTCAAAACTCTTAAAAGTAGTACCTTCTAGAAAATGGTTTCTTTAAAAAGCATGGTTGCTTGCATATACACCTTAATTATGGATCTCTCTCTGTATGTGCATGTATATATATGCACAGATTTGTGTGTCCATCTGGAGTTCCAATAAGAAAGCACAAAGTGCATAGGAAAAAGGTGTGATAAAAAGCGGTGGGTATCACAAAGTGTTTATTTTATCCACTGTATTTACACTTCTGAAGAACCCAAAATACTCATTTACAAAGTGAGTAGGTGGCAGAGACAAAAATAAAGGAAGATATCTGTATTCTATGATTCCTGAATACATCTTTGAAACAAACAAACAGGGAGGGAGAGGGAAATGTGTATATATGACAAAGACATTCTGACCACTTCAAACAGTTAAAAGAATACTGGAGCAGGGTGGTTATTGTTCCAGGAACAGTTATCTGTTAGGAATGTTGTCTCTGATTTTAAAGGAAAACAAAAATAAAGGAGTAAGAAAAGGCAAAGCCTATGCATGGAAATACAGGATAGAGGACAGAAACAAAGACAACTCTGAAACCTGAAGTATTTTAAACACAAATGCACCCAAAAGCTTTTGATTGGGGAGCATAAGTAACAATGAATGAAAGGGAAAAGATAGGGTTTTCTACATAGCAGCAACACCGCTGCTATGACCCCCTACTATACATACAAAATACAGGAAAAGAAGGTCTTTATCTCTCTAAAGCTGTGACCATGGCAACCAAGTCTCAGGAACAGACAAGAGTGGAGTATTTCACTCTCCTGGGCAGCTTTGGACCACCAGATGTGACTGGCTAGAGACTGTTAAAACATCTTATTCTTCTTCTAGACCAAATACTACAAATTGTGTCTCTTGGTGTTAGCACTGTCCACACAGTTCTCTGGGTTCTGCTCTTACTGAATGATGTTTTTTTACTGAGAAGGCCACGCATATTATCCTGCCTCAAGACAAGGTATTCACTGACATCACATGACCTGTCATATCATCAGGCTCCAGTGCTTTCTGTTTGCTGTCACAGCTAAAGTGTTGAAAATCCTCAATATTGCAGTGCTGCTGTGACCTAGTAACTCAGCTGAATCTTACAGCGTAACGGTGATCTCTGAATGAAAAATGGTTTCAGAATTGATTTTGTTTGAAAAGAGTATGTGGTCAAGAACAAACCCTTTTCTTTACTAGTGGCAAAAAACCCCCAAAAAAATAAAAAAAAAAAAAAAACTAAATCACCTTTTAGAAGTCTCCTCTGTAATATTGTTTATTTTCTGTCAATATCTCCCTTTCCATAAATACCCATTTCATCTGAAAAGAAATTCCCACGAGCTTTCTTCTACACTGCTGGAGTCAGGCAAACATAACTTATGTTCCTTACTGGAAGATACTCGAATTTCACAAGTCTGCCATCTTGCTCCAAGACAGCTGTCAAGCACTTCACTTGAAAGAGTTCTCGGAACTGCTAGTGCTACCACTCTAATATCAAATGGCCCAAAGCAAAGGGAACAAACATTGCATTAAGCATATGTATTTCCAACCAATATCCAAACAAAAATAAATACGGTCTATCAAATAGAAATAGGAGAGATCAAACAAACACCAGTCTATCAAAATCTAATAATCTTTAAAGGAATATTTTACATACAGGAATAGACTAACAAAGGAGATGCCCTGTGATTATAGCACTGTATAGAGGAGCATGAAGAATGTCTTGGGAGACCACCCTTGATGTTTTTGTGCATTGCAAGATTTCAGTCTTGTAGTCCACCTGCTGTGCATTACAGACATTTTTCAGAATATGCATTTTCAAAATAACCATTGTCAAGATACCCTTCAGCTAAAGAAGGCAGTGAAGAACACCACAAACTACCAGGATATTATATATAATGCAGTCTTATGTAGGTAGATAAAAAGAGCAGTTCTCCAATGCAGCCAAGTCCTCATCTCAGGATTTCTGCTGCAGACAAAACACCCCAGGAAAAAAAGATGTAAGAACTTCCCAGTTG